TAGAAAATGGTTTCAAAATTCTCATAATTACGGATTTCACTAATGACACAGTACGAAGAATAATAAATTCCTTTTAAAATGCTGCTGGGGGGCAGAGACTTAACTAGAAGCACTTACAAAGTAAAGAAACTAAAAATTTCTTCCAGCTATTTGGAATCATACACTGTATCATGGAGGATGTCCTTTACAGAGTAAACTATTTAGAAGTATCAACTGAAGCAGAAAAAACCCAGCAATTCAGCAATATACTATACTAGCATACAGATACAGTTTTATACAAAGTAATGAGAAACATCCTCCTAAATAATTTCATAGTGCACATCACCGAAGAATTTTATGACATGGACTGTACTCTTCATGAGTGATGTGATACGCTTCAACAGAATGTCATTTATTTTTGGGGATGTACTGAAAAACTGGCAGCATTTGTGCACAAATATTTACTCTTTATTCCACAGACCTTAAACTAGAAAAGGGCTTATTCTCAAGTGTTTAAACTGATCATTTTGACAGCAATAGGAACATTTAACAAATGTCTAAAAGCCTAATCAGGCTTATCTGGTAGTGCCAGGATAGAGCAGGTTGCATTTATATCATTACACAATTATTACAGTAATATATGCTAGCTTCTATCTGTTAAAGTAGAAACCCACAGTCAAACGACAATAAAGCTGAGAGTCATTTATGCAGATTTATTCTTTTCACTCTGCAGAATGCAACAGCAAGGTGCTGAACAACCAAGCAAGTGAATCACTTAATCTAATTTAGCAGGCTGAGTTAGCAGAAATGCTATTTCATATTTGTGACTCACTTGGATGACCAAAAGGCAGTCATCAGGTGAAGAAAGAAAGAGAGGTATTTAAAGGGGAGAGAAAAATATGTTCCAGTAAATGACACAGACAGTATGAAGCATATGAACAATCCTGGGATTAACTCTCTCATGCTCGTTCCATCTTTTTTTTTTTAATTTGTCCTTTTCTTCATTTGTTTGTTTTGTCCTATTGATATCTTTGGGTTTTTTGTTTTTGTTTTTGGTTTTTTTGGGGATTTTTTTGTTTGTTTTTTTTTGTTTTTTAAATCTTGGACACTTATACTGAGCAAAATTTGTCAGGAAAATGTTAATGCAGACTTTCTTCTGCTACTAAACATAAACACCTCACTTAATGGAGGAAAACCTCCACTCTATTCAGAAGTTTACACGTTATTTCCCAGAGATAAGGGTGATGATCTCAAATTTTGGCCCTTTAGCTTAGATTCAGTAACCTTGAGACTCCATAACTATCTCAGCACTCTCCTGTATGCTCAAACTATTCTCTGCTTAATGTTTTTTTCATTAAACAGAAGCAACATTAATGAAGGGTTTCTATACAGTTTAAAGAATAGACAACATATCCACTATAAGCAAAAACAGTTTTCAAATAACTAGGACATGCTTATCTTTTGTTACATGCAGCCTAACTTTAAAAGAAAGAGCTGGTGAATTTGGAAGATGGTGGGAAAAATAATTACAATTATCTTCTTGCCAAGCTTAGACAGAGCAAATGGTATTGTTATTACTGCAGTACTCATCAATATGTAAAGTACAAATCCAGAAAACACAGAATATTTTTAGATCAGGATGAGTGAAAAAATGAAGAAGAGAATTTATAATTTCTTTTACAATTTGAAAATGTATCCTAGTACAGGAAAAAAATACACATGAATATCAGATATCTAATTCAGATATTTATTATTACTCTGTTTGAGTTTGCTTGAATCAATATGGACACATATTAAAACCTGGATGGAAGGTATTCAAGTTATTATCAATCTCTATGCTAGATGAAAAATCCCAGCAGTGCTGCATATTCAACTCTTACTTGCTGCAACAAATAAGGGCTGGATTCTAACCAAGAGGGCAAAGCCCATAATGCAGTGCCTCTCTACCTGTATTTCCATAATCTTTGTATCCAACAGCTAATAAAACTTGGTTCCCCATAGAAACTCACGTGCTGGTAGTTTGGCCCTCAAGAAAAATAGGAGTGGTCTATGGTTCCCCTCTGTACAGGCTTTCGTGAGTAGTGCTGCATGGCAGGTCATTAAAAAAAAAGGGGAAAACATTCTAAAATTATAAAAATACTTACCTCTCCACCTAATATGTAATTAGACTAGGAGGTTCACCTTCAAGTGAGTTAAGGCAAAACCCAGTAGCATGTAAAGGGGGTCTGTCCTTTTGTGTAAATAACAACAGTAATAATATAATCAGAAATTATAAAGAGTCAAGGTGCATAAATAGCATGAAAAGTATAATCCTTTGAGTTTTGGTAGTCTAATTAATAAAACTTTATTTTACTGGGATTTATTCTGCCCTTGGAGTGACCCAGTGCTTGCTGTCAGCATGAGGACATAAAATTGACTTGGGCTGACAACCCGTGTCTGCTTGTGTGACTGACATATGTATTTATATCACTATCATAATGTCCTTAGCATAATCAGAACCAGTTCTTCTAATGAAATGTACTGCTAAACAGTCACTACCCTGAAATTTTTGCTATTTAAAACACAAGAATACAGAATTTTTCACTAACACTTTCCATTCTTTCATCACAGCTGTGAAAGACTAACACAAAACATGTTCCCAAAACAAACAACACAAGCACGAACATAACTTTGGCAAATAAAAGCTGGAAAGAAGGCTGGTTTCCTTTATTTAGCTATTTATGTTAATGGTGTTTAGGAATGGGCAATTAGTCTTTGTATTTTTTCAAAGCAGATGCACTAGGCTCTCTCTATTCATGGGATGCTCTGAAAGTCATCTCAAACAGAACTAAAAGATATAAGGCCTTATAAGCATTCCTCCCAGGATGAGAAATATTTAGGATTAATTTGTTCCAATTTGTTCTAAATGTGTTGCCAGTTTTCATTTGCCAGAAAAATCTACTATATTCCTTCAAGCTGCAGTGAAATTACACATAACAAATACATAAGATAAACTGTACTGACCAAGAAATTGTCCCTCAGAGATGGACATTTTGGTCAAGCCTTGACAGCTTTGAAGTACTCCTGTGAACAGGCTTATTTGGAAACCTTCGATGAATTTCTTTACTCTGTTCCCTCTCTGACTTAGCAGCTTAAAGTGCTTGCTTAGCAGAAAAATTAACCATTTAAATCCTTTACTTAATCAACAATTACACATAGACTAGGAAAAATGAAAAACCGTTGCACATTTGATAGAGTGCTAATTCCAGCACAAATGTTACTGTTTATAATTTATTGCTACTGGCTACCAAAAGCCACACACCTAATTAACTCCCTGCATCCTATCCCAGAAATTGGAGGTTTCCATGTCTGAATGGGTCATAGTTTGTGGTTGGTTCCTTAAGGCAGGAAGCACTGCTTGTGTCCTGAAGGGACAGTAGTAAGGTAGTGTATGAAACCTAATTTCATGTGATTTATGTGGTTATTCCCTGTTCCACTTGGTAAGCTTCAAGGTTGTCCTGAACAGCACAAGAGTCAAAGGGAATCAGAAGAAATGATTTATGCTCTTATTGTCAATACCGTGACAACTACTACTACTACTGTTTGGAACTCCAAGATTTGCCCTCTAGAACCTACGGAGACAGCTCTCATGAGGGAGGGAAGAAAGCACCTATTGGTCAGATTCCCCAGATCTCCTGGTACATCTGGGTTCATGTTTACTTTAAAAAAACATATTGATGGTAATTTATTTTTTTAAGTATGGAAAACTATATACTGTGTTTAAAATTAATCTCCTGTCTCTGAAATTTCAGATTTTGAGGTGAATGCAGAATCACAACTGGCCATGAAACTAACAAGGTATTAGAATCTGGTCCACATTTAAAATATTTTTTTTAATCCATGGGAATGCAATAGCAAAGTACTGGTTTTCCACTTATTTCAACAGATGCCTTTGCTTATCTTTTCTTCTAGCAGATTTTTGCACACAGTCAACTCAATAAATGGGGCTACTAAGAGATTGTTCACAGATAAAGTTAAATACACAATATCCTATTCTGGTGTTATGGTTCAATGTCTTATGCTGTTTCCTGTCTTCACTAAACAACATCACATATTAAAGTGTCAGACAGAGGAAATTATTTGGACTGTATGGCCGCTGTTTGTTATATTAACATCAGTTTTATAAGCACATGAATAAAAATATGAAAGAAAGTATGCAGAATGGAAAATTGTATTAGATTTTTTTATTCTACAATATATAAGGTATAAGAAATGGCAATAAGCCAAAAAGGTTGGAGTTTTCCTTCATATTTTTTATCAGAAATCTGTTAATATTTATCACATATACCATATTTACTGCAGGTAAATTTCTTCCTAAAGTAGACAGAAATAATATTTGCTAGAAATATTTTGCAGGTAATACTTACATAAAGTACAGAGTGGAAAAGATGTCAAATGAGTTGTTCTTTTTCAATTGCAAGCTAGTAACTGTGTAGGAGTAAAATCCCAGATGCCTGACTGAGTAGCCAGAATTCACCTTTGTACCAGACCATTTTATCTCTGTCGGGTGGGACCTTGCTGGTATTGAATATTTCCTACCAGAAATTAGTGAGATATCCTTTGTAGTACTGTTATTCTTTCTAATATAGCTCAGGATGCCTCATTTGATTAATGTGTTGCTTTTATAGTCAGGGTAGCTGAGACTGTGGGGTGCTAAATGTAGTGAATTATCTGTATTCTGGTATGAGTGCATGACAACTCTTATTATTTAAATGGTGAAAGTGGAGGGAAGTTCAGCTTCAGGAGCTGGCAGCCTTTTATATCTCCAGGGGTTCCTGCTTTATTTTAAAGGGTGGTGCCTTATCAAGCACATTGGCTGCTTGCCCAAATTAAAGAAAAACAAAACATTACCATAATTTTTTGACAACGAGGTGGAAATTTCAATGTAGGTCAAGACTTCCACTGGTTACTTGTTATGGTCTAACGCATATAAGTAGGTTGAATTTTTCCATCAGTAAAGTAAAAAACATGCAGCCACTCACTTGCTGCTCAGGCAGCGTCTCAGGGAATATGAAGCCCCTCCTCCACAGGTGCGTGAGCATTCACTCCACGAGCCCCAGGCGTCCCACAGGGAGTCTCGGTCTTCCTCCGAGCGAGCTGTTCTGGAGCTCTGAGGAGAGGGAAAAGGAAAAAAAAATCCGGAAAAAACACTTAAGCATCAAAACTACTGCTGCTAGTTTAGCCTTTCTTTTTACTGGATATAGTCTTGGTTATTAAAAGTACTGAATAAATTTAATAAATGTGTTCCTCTCTGGCATGCCTACTGGTTTGACAACCAGTTCCTTAATAGTGAATGGTGTATGAATTCACTTTAATCTTTTGAATATCCTACTTCATCTCAGTTTGAGGCCAGTGAAGACTGCTCTTTGAACAACAGTGAGACAAAGGATCTTTCTTTTCTGATTAAGAAATGGAGTACTATAGACATCAGACATTGTGCTCTGAAGTTTTGCTGCTGTGTTAGAAGCTATGAAAAGGCATATTGAAATGAACCTTCCAAAATGCTCTTAAGGAAAAATCAATACACAACTTAGTGAATCAACAGGCAAAAAGGCATTCAATATAATCACTTTCATGCACTTACTATAAGGAATTTGAACTATCATTGCTACTCTGTCTAAAGGTCTATGAAACTTGCTGGACAAAGTCTCCCTAATTGTTTCATCCCTACTGTTTGCTAGCTTAAAGAAGAAAATGCACATTCCCTGAAGAGCAGAAGTTACCAACATCAGAATGGTTAATGCCAGTGCTATTGTTAATGCCAGTGACTGTGCTCAAACAACTTCACAGAGAAGCAGCACTGAAGGATGCAGAAATGCTCAGCTCTTTGAGGAATAAGTCATAAACATATAGCAGTACCTGTCTCAAATAAAGTAGTCACACCCTGTATTCAGCATTTCATTTTCTTTCATGCAAATGCAGCACAGAAACATAGATTTGTAAGGATACAAATTATTTAACTATACAGATAGATATTGCCCCTAGTGAGCAATGTGGTTTTGCTGGAAAAACTGACTAATCCAGCAAAGGTTCCCCAAAAATGCTTGTGTCTGATGGAAATAGGCAGTGTTCTCCTTCAAAACTTGTGCTGTAGACCAGCGTCTGGTGAATAGCAGTTCTAACTACACTTGAAATTAATGAGAGCGAAAAACAACGATATAAGACTTTAAAGGTACACCTTAAACAGAGAAACACCAGCAAGCATCACTGCTGGCCCATGTTAAAGCAGTCAGCTTTAGCTTTCATAGCATCATAGAAGATACTGAATTGGAAAACACATATCAGAATCATCAAATCCAACTCCTGGTCTTGCACTGGACATCCCAAGAGTCACACCACATGCCTGACAGCATTGCCCAAACACTTGAACTCTGTCAGGCTGGTGTTGTGATCACTTCCTTAGGAAGCCTGTTAGAGTGCTCAAATATCCTCTCAGTGAAAACCTCTTCCTGATATCCAGCCCAAACCTCCTCTCACACACCTCCAGGCCATTCCCTCAGGTGCTGTCACTGTCCCCACAGAGCAGAGATCAATGCCTGCCCCTTCTCTTCCCTCTCACAAGGAACTTGTAACTGTGCTGAGATCTGTCCTCAGTACCCTGTTCTCCAGGCTGAACAGACAAAGTGACCTCAACTGCTCCTCACATAGCTTCTCTTCAAGGCCCTTCACTATTTTTGTTGGACTCTACTGGAGCTCTCCAACAGTTTAATATCTTTCTCATATTGTGGCACCCAAAACCAGCCCCCAGCACTTGAGATGAAACTGTCCCAGCTCAGAGCAGAGCAGGACAATCCCCTTCCTTGCCCAGCTGGTGATGCTGTGCCATCAGGACCAGGACGTCCTGTTGGCAACATTAAGGGATTATTTGAGACAGAGAGATAGCTCAACACTGAAATAATTTCACTTTCAGTGAAGATGAGTAATAGTAATGAAATATGGTGAAACATACCAACCTTGAATAATTTTATTCATGAGTAAAAAAGAATTAATTCAGTCTGTGAGAGATAATTTTGGGCCTGTCTAATGAGTGTGTAACCATTACTTGACACACTCATTTTATCTTACCTTTATTAAAATAAAAAAAAAATATCAAAAAAACCCCCAGCAATTGCCAGGGTAAATGTAAAAATTAAAGTTTCATAGGCAATCAGATTCTGATTATGACTACATGTAACTCAGTTTCCAGATTTACATTGGAGTTAGGAGAAGACATGACCAACTTACTGAGGTTATTTCACCCAAGCACTTTTTGAAGAGTAATTTTTATAAAATGAAAATGAATATTTGCAATTTTATTCTCTTAAAATAAAAATACATGTTTTTGATTCCAGTTAATAGGAAAACAAATACCTTCAAACTGCAGATGGGTGCATAACCTGATAATTTACCCCCGGCTGAAAGCCCAAAGACATTATTTAAGACAGTTGCAAGGCAAACTCACATGAACCAAGTACTCTTACCCCACCATATGATAGGCATCAGCGCAGCTAGACATTCTATGGGTCCAAATTTTTCTGACATAAATTGTGATCCCACCCAGAGGAGATCTGTGAGCCTATTACTTGCATTCCAGAATTTGCTTTAAGACTTATATATTCCCAGAAAACATGTGATTGCAACCTACAACAGGCTCCAAGTTTTCTTTTAACAAGTGGAATAAACATAATTCATCTCAACGCCATCCATGTTTAATGCTAAAGAAAGTAGAGTGTTTTCCTTCCTGTGAGTTAAGATTGAGCTTGAAATTCTAGCAATACCCAAAAAGTAATTTCAAATCAGAAGACAACTGCCTATTACGGATTTATTCCAGCTTCAAAGGATATATACACAATTACTAGCTAAGAATTCATTGTCTAGTATAGATTTTTTCCAAAGTAGTTTATACAGGTAGTTAATAATTCCTACCCACTATTGTCAAAATGAACTTTAAAGTAGCAGTCAAGAGTTCTGCAGTGCAAGAACTCCTACAATACTCCTTTAAAGCCCTGAAGTTCCTGTCATAAATAGTAAAGAAAAGGAACCAAAAATGACATGGGGAGGAAATAGAGGGGAGTAAAGTAAAAATGCCCTTAAAGTTGAAAAGAGTAAAGCTGGCACCACTTAAATCTTTCTTTAAGTAGATGTTCCATCACAGAAAAAGTCTTATACTCTGCCAGAAGTGCTCCAGATTGGTGGTTCTCAAAATGCCAGTGTATGTCAATGAAGGAAAAAGCAGTCATCAAGCCTCATTATACCCTGTTGCTGGTACCAGAGGCCCTTCCTCATCCCTTCTGCCAGTTCCAGGTGGATGTCAGTCTGAGCTTCCCAGAAAAATTCCATTTCTTTGTCCAGAAGAAATTCAGGATGCCCTGACATCAAAAGTTATCAAGTCAGAAATGCCGCCCTTACTATCTTAATATACACATGTTAATCTGAATGTGATACTGCATCTACCACCCCATACCTCAGCTCCTGTGGGAATGGGCAGGAGGACTCCCAAAAAGTTGTCCAGTAAGAAATATGAAGAACAGCTTGTGCTATTGGACCAGAAAGCAAAAAGGATAATGTGTAAAAAATTAAATCACTGTCAGTAGATAGGGTACTGAGGTGAAGATGCTTACAGAAGTAAAAAAAAAAAAAAAGCTTTGAACTACAAGTCAAACAAAGGAATTTTTGTGATACAAACAAAAGAAATAAGAAAGCTGACATAATCAGATAAGAATAATAGAGATAGATATCCAACCTGATTCTTCAAAAAAATCCAACTTCAGTGTTTAATAGTAATTTCTGAATTTACTAAAGAGTTGTCAGGCATTCATGTTCTATTCAGTGGTGCTTCTTACACTTTCCACTTACAGTACACAGAAATCATTTAGCCTATCTGGAATACAAGTGTCACATATCCTTAAATCACAACAGCTATCTGGACATCTAGGATCTGCATGCCTGATAAGAACCAGGTTTCTCTTAAAAGAATAAGTGTGCATATGTGTGTAGGTGCATAGAGGGAGAAAAATGAAGAGCAACAAGATGTCTTTTCATGTCCTGAAGTCTATAAAAGAAGTTCAGCCTTAAGAATATACATCATAGTTGCATATTGTAATTGAATTTAAAATTTTGTTTGGAACAGTGTTATCCCTACAGAATCCGGCTATTTGTCAGTGCCACACAGAAGACTGTGTGTAAAAACACAGATCACATGATTTACTTTCTCTTCTGGTTCTGAGGCATTCAGTTTTCCTCCTCTTTCAGTAAAATGCTGCTGAAGTCCTTTTTCAAGCACCCAGTGTTTTTCCTAGATTAAACAGCAATACAGATAGTGAAAAATGCAGTTAAACTCTTGTTGGACTACAGCATTGATACAGAATTTAGGCCAGTTATTTCCCAGATAATATGAACCACTGGTTTGGTTAATAAATTTATATCATCTGGTTCTTATCATATCCCCACTGTTTCAGGGTATGATGAAGTGTCAGTGACAATATGCAAGGCTCCACTGAGGCCACTGCCTAAACTTGCCTTTAGCTACTGTAAAAATTATACTAGGGACAGAAAACTAGTATTTTTCTTCTGTAATGGTCTTTCTGCCCAGAATTTTCAGATAAGTTTAAAGCATCCCTATATGAATTCTTGCCAAGCCACACATTCTTCTTTGAGTAATCCTTGAGCATCCTTTGATGTTAGCTTGTCACTGAGATTAAATACATACTTCACACAGTACTGGAATGCTGTCTACAGCAAACCAGGAAGAAACTGCTATCAGCACTTCCCTAGGTGTGTAACAGCAGGGGACAAGGCCAGTGACCTCAACTCTTTATAAAAACCATTTATTTCAAAACTTCAACCAATGTAAATATATGGTTTATACGATTTCATTTGCACAATGTTATGTATCTTTATTGCATTCCATCCAAGTTAACAGATGGATTAAAGCCCACGTGGGAAACTGTTTGGAAATTTCTGGCTTTTGGAAAAAAGGCAAGGCAGAACAAATTCATAGCCAGTTGAATTGATATTGGTAATTGCCATCAGAAAAAACGTTAACATGAAGACATTTCTGACTAATTGTTGCAACTTTTCAAAGTGAGTATCTTGAAAATTCCATACATAAAATATTCTGACATATCAAGT